CTCATATAATCTTTAGTCCTTAAAAACATATTTTCCAAAAACACGCACAAAATTCTTTGGTCCTCAAACAAATATTTTCCAAAAAATTGCCGATCATATAACCTTTTGTCCTGAAAAAAATATATTTTAAAAAAACGCATAAGCACACACATGTAAATCCTGTTCTTAAACAAATATTTTTAAAAAATTCAACGTTCATAGGTCGTTTGGTCTTTAAAAATATTTTTAATAATACGAGTTCATATATACTTTGTCCCTTGGCTAAATAGTTCCCAGTTGATGAGGTAAACCGATATTATCCATTTTCGCTCCTGATCTAGCACTGATGCAAATACTAGGATTTGCAATTTTGATGCAATATTGGATTATCCTTTCTTTTTCTGTGCTCTATAATATATATATTTTTTTTTGAAAATTTCGACCTTTTATGGTGGACGTACCAGAACGAGTGGACCGATATTGCCCATCTCCAAATTCGATTTAAGTTAGATATTACGATGTACCAAGTTTGGAATCGGATACTCCCTTTCAGAGTTATCATGAGCACCATCCAGATAGACAGCTCTAGATTGACTCCAAATTTATTATTTAGAAATTCACGATTATGGCTGTAAAGAAGGCCCTTGAAATTTTAAAAAAGTTCCATGGTTATAGTAAATGTGGAAATATATTTTAATACCCTCCACCATTTCGTTTGTAACACCTTGAAATATACATTGTCGACCCCACAAAGTATATATATTCTTATTCAGAAAAAAATTCTATGTCGCTTTAGCGATGTCCATCCGACTCTCCGCCTGTCCGTCTGTGGAAATCACTCTATGAAGTAGGTTGATAACATTTTACTCAAATGAGTACTATGTCTGCAGGACTTTTGGTGTTAAAAATGGGCCATGTAGGACCATCTTCGGTATTTTGATGATTTTAGCAACATTATTAACCGGAATTGTTTCAAATTTGATATTTGAAGTTCGTAAAGGATACTACAGCCTATGACAGAAAATTGTCCGTGCAGGTCCACGTTTTCGTATAGCCCCCATATAACGGTACCTCCTGATCTTCGGTATTATGATGATTTTAGCGACATTATTCACCGGAATTGTTTCAAATTTGGTATTTGATGTTCGTAATAGATACTGCAGCTTAAGACAGAAAATTGTCTGTTTAGGTCCACGTCTTCCTATAGCCTCCATATAACGGTACCTCCCGGTATTCGGTATTTTGATGATTTCAGCGACATTATTCACCGACTTTTTTTAAGTTTCACATTTGAATTATGTAAAGGCTTATGACAAAAGTTGGCTATACAGGTCCACGTCTTTCATATAGAACCTATTATAACGGCAACATTCGGCATTTTTAAGATTTTAACAGCATTTTTAATGGATGAATGAAAATTGCCATATTCGTTCCAAATAGTTGAGGGTATTCAAAGATCGGACCTGCCGAACTTTCACCTTGTTTACTTGTTTAATCTTTAAAATCCCTTAAAAAATTTACAATTATGATAATAAACCCCTTGAAATTTCTATTTAAAAAAATTACTATTATAAGTAATGTGACCCAACACTCTTTAAAATTTTGCAATAATAACCCTGAAGCCTTTTGAAAAATATTCTTTAACCATAATGGCTTCCATGGTTCTTGAAAAGTTCCCTATTACTGCTCCAAAGGGACTTGGAAAATATTCTTTAAAAGTCCTTTTTCATAGCCGAGAAAGCATCTGAAAAATATTTATGTAAAAAAAACCACAATTACGGTCCTTGCGAATTTTTCTTTCAAAGTCTATGATTATGGCCTAAAGACCCATAAAAAACACTCTTTTAAAGATTCCCGGTTATTGTTCTAAATTCTATTATAATTAGAAGACCTTCAAGGGGTTTACCTATTGTAGATACTCAAATGGTCTTCTATTTACAAATTACTTATAGAAGGCCTTATATTTCAATGACTTACAGGATGACGACCTGAGGTTCTTGGGTATAATATATGGAAAAGTTTATCATTTTGGATGTGGGACTCCCCAAAATGGGATTCTGCGAAAATTCCTGTATAAAGGGTCTTATATGTTATAGCGACCACAGGAGGTTTTCAAAAGGCTGGTACACACATAAATATAGACACAACCTTCTAATTTCATTCTATTCAAACCTGTTTTATTTTATTAAATTTTACTCGCCCCATATATATTAAAGATAGATTAATTATTCTCTCCCATACACCACTTTCTGGTCAGGTTCTAGTTCAAAGACCTTTTTGAAATTAAACAATGAATTTCTTCTAATAAAATAAATGGCACATGGTATAGACAAAAAAGCCCCTTGGAATTTGACAAGAATGAAAAAAAGAAAACAATACTTGTTTTAAGTCTGAATTATGGCGAAACGTCAGCACATGCGCGTACTTGCAGTTACTACGAATCTGGTGGGATTGAGTGAAATTGAAAATTTCGTACAATATTGTAAGAACTGGGACTATAATAATTTATTAATGCCAGATGACACCACATGTTAGAGTCATATGTAAAGTGAATTTTTCTAAATTCATAAGGGTCTTGAATGGATCGGACACTGAAATTTCAAAATGGCTTCTAAAAGCATGATTATATTTCGCTCCAAAATTTAAAAACTGCATCCCTTGTCTATTTTTAAAGAATTATCTTCATCGGGGTAGTATCAGATTAATAAAAGATTCTTTAATTTTTTATATATACAGGGTGAGACGAAAAATGTGCAACAAAGTCAAACGCCAAATTTTTTAACATTTGTTTTTAAATTTTATTGAATGAAGCAAAAAATGTCGGAAATAGCATCAAATTATAGAATCTGTTAAGATTTGTTCGAATTTGTCACCTTTGGCACGAACTATGGCCTTCAAACGGTCAATGACAGCGTCGCACTTGCCCGAATGTTGCTCTGCGGTATTTTGGTCCATTCCCGGCGAAGCGCTTGCTTGAGGTGATCGACACTTTGGTAGTTTTTAGTGCCAACCTCGCTTTCCAAAATACTCCAGACACAATAGTCGAATGGATTGGTATCCGGAGATTTTAGTGGCCATTGCGCGCTGGAAATGAAGCGAAGAACCTCATTTTGTGACCATTCTTGGGTGGCGCGTGCTGAGTCCTGTTGGAATGTCCAAGGTCTACGGCCAAATTGTTTGCGTGCCCAAGGCTTTAATACACCCTCCAGAATATTTTCGCTATAATATTCGGCATTTATTCTGATGTCACGGTCGATACAATACTCCAGACACAATAGTCCAACGGATTGGTATTCGGAAATTTTGGTAATTTTGCGCTGGAAATGAAGCGAGGAACCTCATTTTGTAACCATTCTTGGGTGGCGCGTGCTGAGTCCTGTTGGAATGTCCAAGGTCTGCGGCCAAAATTTGTGCGTGCCCAAGGCACACCCTCTAGAATAATTTCGCGATAATATTCGGCATTTATTCTGATGCCACGGTCGACACAATGGTCCAGACTCAATAGTCCAACGGATTGGTATCCAGAGATTTTGGTGGCCATTGTGCACTGGAAATGAAGCGAGGAACCTCATTTTGTAACCATTCTTAGGAGGCGCGTGCGATGGTTCTGAATCCTGTTGGAATATCCAAGGTCTGCGGCCAAAATGTTTGCGTGCCCAAGGCCTTAATACACCCGATAATATTCGGCATTTATTCTTATGCCACGGTCGATTAATACGAGCGGAGAGCGACCATTGGCTGCTATTGTGGCCCACACCATCACCATGACCGGGGCTTGAGTTCTGGTGGCCAACAGAAGGTGCACATTTTCAGCTGACCTCTTGACAAGTAAACACGATCATTTTGTTTGTTTACAAACTGCTGGACAATGAATGTTTACTCATCGGAGGAAACCAAATTCGGCAGTTCACCACTTTCGGCCAAGCGAAACAACTCTTTAGCTCTTTTGAGTCTATTTTCTTTCTGTTGCGGTATAAGTTCTTGCACTTTTTGGAATTTCAAAGGCTTTACTCCGACCTCATTTTTCAATATTTTCCGAACGGAATATTGCGATATGTTCAGCTCACGAGCCATTTTTTGGCCATTGTGACAAGGGGATTCTATCAAGTCGCTTCTTCACTTTTCGAACCATTTCTGCTGATGTTGCTGCTTTCTTCCGTCCACTTCCTTGACGTCGGGCTACGCTATCAGTATCACAGTAACGAGCGATGGTACGAGACACAAAAGTTTTATTCACATTTAAATGCTGGAGTGCTCTAACGATAGCCACTTGTGGTTTTCCAGCCAAATATAAAAAAATCATACGATCACGCTTGAATCCCATCGCGAATAACAGTTTTTCTGGAAAATTCTCACGAAAACGTTTTTGTACGCTTGTAAACAATATAATAAGCTGTCACTGGAATAATTTTAACAACTGTCGGACGAGTGGCTTAGAAATGACAGCAGTCTGAAGTTGGTTGCAATTTTTTGCATCTCATCCTCTATATTCGCACATATCTCATATTCCAGGGATGTAAGGAGGAGCTCTGGAACATCTTTCGAGATACCGACAGATTTTGTGTATTTACATTGAAAAATTACATTTTTCCAATTTTGGGCCCTCGCAATGGTTCCGTATTGCATTCCCGTATACGTCACTGTAATATCATACATTTTTTTTGAAAATCGCAACAAGCATTTACAGGCGCACACACCCAGGTGCAAATATTTAAAAAATAGTCCGATTACCTACAATTTAATTCCAGTTGTCCAGTCAGTCTGTTTATCTCGTAATTGAAGTCTCACAGAAGCTGCTGTTTTTTTTTTTTTTTTTTTTTGTTATTTGCATTGGTTATCCTACAAAACCAGATGTAAGAACAAAGGCCCTATAGAGAAAACAAAAATTTATAATCTTCTAATTTATTTTGAATACATTCAATATCGAAATTTTTGGAGTATAAAATCATTTGCGATCATTTCGAAAGGCATCAGTAGGAACCTTCAAGTGTAACGAAATACAACACAACAATCGATTCGAAATGAAACTGCTCATCTGCGTTTTGGTGATCAGCTGCATTGTTGCAGCCAATGCTCAGGGTATTAGCAATGCGAATGCCATATCCATAGCTAATGCCCAAAGCTATGGTGGTGGTGGCGGTGGATACCCTGGATATGGTAGAGGTTACGGAGGTTTCCCTGGCCAGGGAATTGGCGGTGGATATGGTGGCGGTCGTTTCCATAGAGGTCGTGGAGGCTATGGCGGCGGTTATGGAGCACCGGGTGGTTATGGTGGCTATCCCGGCGGTGGCTATGGTGGTTATCCCGGCGGTGGTTATGGTGGTGCCAATTCAAATGCATACGCTAGTGCCAATGCTGGTGCCAATTCGTACGGTCGTTAAGTTGCTGGGGTGTTGTAATGAAATACTAAGTTTTTAATAAATTTTTTATATAAAAAGTTAAGAGGTTGTCTATTTGTTTGAAGGTATGAGAAGGTTTTCAGATGAGGGGGTTTTAGGGGACTTTCGTAGAAAGAAGGCCATTTACTGGTCTTCTATGCACGAAATCCCCCATTTAGAAGCTCTTCTGTAACAGGAAGACTCTTCATTCATTTTCTATGCGAAAAGTAATTTTTTAAGGTCTTGAAAAGGTCTTCCTAAGAAGGTCTTGCAACGGTTTTATAAATAGAAGACCTTTTCAAATTCTTCCATACCGAGAAAATCTTTTCAAGGTCATCTACACAGAGAAAACCTTTTTAAGGTCTTCTATACAAAGAAGACCTTTTGAATATCTTCTACACCGAGAAGACCTTTTGAAGGTCTTCTATGAAGAGAAGACATTTCAAGGTCTTCTATTCCGAGAAGACCTTTCAATGTCTTCTATTCCGAGAAGATCTTTTCAAGGTCTTCTACATAGAGAAGACATTCTAAGGATTTCTATACCGAGAAGACCTTTCAAGATCTTCTATACAGAGAAGACTTTTTCAAGGTCTTCTATACTAAGAAGACCTTTTTAAGGTCTTCTACACTGAGAAGACCTTTTTAAGGTCATCTATATGTACCGAGAAGACCTTTTCAAGGTCTTCTACAGGGTGAGATTAAAAAAACTGCAAACAACTTCAGAATGCTGTCATTTCTAAGCCACTCGTCCAACAGCTGTTAAAATTATTTTAGTGACAGCTCATTATATTGTTTACAAGCGTACAAAAGCATTTTGGTGGCAATTTTCCAGAAAAAAAGTTATTCGGAATGGAATTCAGGCGTGATAGTGTGATTTCTTTATATTTGGCTGGAAAACCACAAGTGGCTATCGTTAGAGCACTCCAGCATTTAAATGTTAATAAATCTTTGGTGTCTCGTACCATCGCTTGTTACCGTGATACTGGTAGCGTAGCCCGACGTCAAGGAAGTGAAGGGAAGAAAACAGTAACATCAGCAGAAATGGTTCGAAAAGTAAAGAAGCGACTTGGTCGAAACCCACGTCGCTGTAGCCGAAAAATTGCTCGTGAGCTGAACATATCGGGATATTCCATTCGGTAAATATTGAAAAATGAACTCGTGGTAAAGCCATTGAAAATCCAAAAAGTGTAAGAACTTACACCGCAATAGAAAGAAAATAGACCCAAAAGAGCTAAAGACTTGCTTCACTTGACCGAAAGTGGTGAACTGCCGAATTTGGTTTTCTTCGATGAGAAAACACTCGTTGTCCTGCAGTTTGTAAACAAACAAAATGATCGTGTTTACTTACCAAAGAGGTCAGCTGAAAATGTGCACCTTCTGTTAGCCACCATAACTCAAGCGCCGGTCATGGTGATGGTGTGGGCCGCCATAACAGCCGATGGTCGCTCTTCGCTCGTATTAATTGGCCGTGGCATCAGAATAAATGCCGAATATTATCGCGAAAACATTCTGGAGGGTGTATTTAAGCCTTGGGCACGCAAACATTTTGGCCGCAGACCTTTGACATTCCAACAGGACTCAGCACGCGCCACCCAATACTGGTTACAAAATGAAGTTCCTCGCTTCATTTCCAGCGCACAATGGCCAATAAAATATCCGGATACCAATCCGTTGGACTATTGTGTCTGGAGTATTTTGGAAAGCGAAGTTGGCACTAAAAAATACCAAAATGTCGATCGCCTCAAGCAAGTGCGTCGCCGGGAATAGGCCAAAATACCGCAGAGCAACATTCGGGCAGCGTGTGACGGTTTCATTGGCCGTTTGAAGGCCATAATTCGTGCCAAAGGTGACCAATTCCAACAAATCTAAACTTATTCTAAAATTTGATGCTATTTCCGAAATTTTGTATTTTTTTTTTGTTTTTTTTTTTAAGTTTATAAATTAAAATAATATATAAAAAGTAAATTATGGCATTTGACTTTTTTGCCGTTTTTTTTTATCTCACCCTGTACACAGAGAGAGAGAGAGAGAGAGGAACCTTTTAAATTTTTCTATGCAGAGAAGACCTTTTCGAGGTCTTCTATACAGAGTAGAAATTTTCAAGGTCTTACGGCCTTTTTAAGGTCTTCTATACAGAGAAGACCACTACAAGGTCTTCAATTTCCTTTTCGAGGTTTTCTATAGAAAAAAGTCCTTTTGAAAATTTTCTATGTAAAGAATTCCATTTCAATATCTTCAATTTATTTTCAGGGGTATCTTCAAGGGAACTTTTTTACAGGGAAGTTATTCGCAAGTCAATTTTATAGACCAGGGTTCCCCAACGATAGGATATTTTACTGGTCTTTTCTACCCAGAAAACCTAAAACAAACGTTCTCTCTCTTGCAATTATTTTGAGTAGATGACGAATTCCAAAATTTGTCCTTTTCCCATTTCCAACATACAACTATAGCGATTGCCACCCTGATGCATTCACACATTGACGTCCAACCCCCCTCCATCAATTATCAATGGTAAATACTCGATTTTTGATTTTTGCCAGCCCTGTGTTGGCCCATTAGTCAGGTAAACAAAAACTGGCCATGGGGCAGTTTTCGATTGGTCTTTGAAAATTAATTTTCCCCATGACAGTCGTACCAATACTAAAATACACTACGAGACATTGGTAATATTTGTGTTTGAAGAGGGTGGATGTTTACATTGGCAACATTTGGTTGCACAAACTTCAGCTAAAGGATATGTTTGATATGGACAAGGACTTTTATATGGTGGTCGTTATGGATATGAATATGAATATTTTTTGGATTTTTGTATTTTTTTTTTTTTTTTGAAAAACTAATTAACGTAATTGTGTTAGTCAATTGTGGGACTATGTTGATGGCTATCGTCAACGGGGGTGGAAATATGAATAAAGTTGTTTTATTTGTATTCACTTTGGACATTTTACCACAATTAGCTCTTATATGCAAACACTGCAACTAAAAGTTGTTATTAAACTTGATTTTAAGTGGCTGGTGTAAATATGTTATTCAAAAAATAATAATGAAATAATGTAAAATATATAGATGTGATTTGAAAATTATTTTAAGGGTGGGACCAAAAAGGCTTTTGCTTGGAAATGTTAAAATTCTTGAAATTAGTTTAATTTTTAAAAGGAAGGAAGGTACTTTTTACACTGGATATAACATTGACAGATTTATTGGAATATTCAGATTTGGAGACTATTTTCACATAATGTTTGGGAGAGGTGGTGACGATGTATCAGGGCTTCTCAAGCCAGCTGTTCATCACCCACATTGACTTATGACGATGAAAGAACATCACTTAAACGGCAACAAAGTCAAAGGCCATAATTTTTAATTTTTTTTTTAAATTTTATTGAACGAAAGCAAAAAATGTCGGAAATAGAATCAGAATAGAAATACAATTTTAGAATAAGTATAGATTTGTGCGAATTGGTCACCTCTGGGACGAACGGCCAATGAAACCGTCACACGCTGCCAGAATGTTGCTCCGCGTTTTGGTCCATTCCAGACGAAGTGCTTGCTTGACGTGATCGACACTTTGGTATTTTTTAATGCCAACCTTGCTTTTCAAAATACTCCAGACACAAGAGTCCAACGGATTAGTATCCGGATATTTTGGTGGCAATTGTGTGCTGGAAATGAAGCGAGGAACCTCATTTTGTAACCATTTTTGGGTGGCGCGTGCTGAGTGCGATGGTGCTGAGTCCTGCTGGAATGTCCAAGGTCTGCGGCTAAAATGTTTGCGTGTCCAAGGTTCTAATTCACACTCCAGAATATTTACGCGATAATATTCTGATGCCACGGTCGATTGCTACGAGCGGAGAGCGAGCATCGGCTGTTATGGTGGCCCACATCATCACCATGACCGGCGCTTGAGTTCTGGTGGCCAACCCAAGGGTACACATTTTCAGCTGACCTCTTTGGCAAGTAAACACGATCATTTTGCTTGTTTACAAACTGCAGGAAAACGAATGTTTTCTCATCGGAGAAACCCAAAATCGACAGTTCACCACTTTCGACTAAGCGAAACAACTCTTTGGCTCTCCTCAGTCTATTTTATTTCTTTTGCGGTGTAGGTTCGTGCACTTTTTGGAATTTCAATGGCTCATCGGCTTTGGCTCAATGGCTCAATGGCTTTCCGAGCTCATTTTTCAATATTTGCCGAATGGAATATTTCGATATATTCAGCACACGAGCCATTTTTGGCCATTGTGACGCGGGTTTTGATGAAGTCGCTTCTTTACTTTTCAAACCATTTGTGCTGATGTTGCTGTTTTTCCCGTCCACTTCCTCGACGTCGGTCTACGCTACCAGTATCACGGTAACGAGCGATGGTATGAGACACAAATGATTTATTCACATAATAATTTTTTTTTCTGGAAAATTCTCACCAAAATGCTTTTGTGCTCTTATAAACAATATAATGAGCTGCCACTGGAATAATTTTCAGCTGTCGGACGAGTGGCTTAGAAATGACAGCAATCTGGAGTTGGTTGCAGTTTTTCATCTCACCCTGTAAAAAATATATATATTGGGAGCCTTTTGTGGGGAGGTACTATATGTAGTGAGTCGATGAATCCTACATTAATATCAAATCTCAGTTTACCAAGTTTTAAAATAATTCCTGGCTTGTTTCGCTAATTATAAGAGACATAAATGTTGAAAACTGTGGCCCATGGTGGGGGAGATACCAGAAGAGATGGGCCGATATCTATCATCTTCAAACTAGATTCTGTGTTGGTAGAAATATTGGGATGTGTGAAATTTGAATTGGATCGAGTGCTTATTTCGCAATTTATAAGAAATATAATTATTCAAAATGTTGACCCTTTGTGGGTGAGGTATCAGAGGGAGTGGAATGTTGCCCATCTCCGTACTCGATTAAAGTTCGACAATAATGTTACCATGTACCAAATTTGAATCAAATCGGATTCTTCCTTTGAGAGTTGTCGTGCGCACCAGCCGTTCAGAGAGACAGA